TCTCTCTCTCTCTCTCTCTCTCTCTCTCTCTCTCTCTCTCTCTCTCTCGCTCTCGTGGTGAGCATGGCCTTCCTCCACCAACTGGGGCACGACGACTCCGCCGACGACAGAACCTACGCCCTCGGCAGCAGCCAGCGCGACGCCCTGGCTGCCGAACTCGCGCGCGGAGCTGGCGCTGCTCACCCCCTGCATATTCGAGCTAGTGCCCTCGACGTCGCAGGGCCAAGGCGGGGCGCGCTTCATCGCGGCAGGATACATGCTGTGGAGGCCCATGCGGAACTGGGTCTGGATCAGCTCCAGCTCGTTGAAGTGCGCGCGCGCGCGATTTGATCTTCTGCGAATGGGCGCACAACACGCTCCGCACTTCCAAGTCGCCAACGAGCTTCAGCGCGTCGCTCTGCCCCATATCGGCGATACCCTCGAGAAAACCGCGAGCTCCACGCGACATGCAAGGAGCCTGAATCGCCAACGCCCAACAATTGTTGCTGATGGTCTGCACGTCGGTACTCTGAAGAAGATTGGTGTTTCCGCCCCTGATATGCGTCTCTGGCGCCGTCATCATAGCTTTGACGCAGGCAGCCACGTACTCTGCGCACTGTGACACCTCCACGTTGTCGAGCAGATTGCAATGTTTTGGCTTCAAGTCGCGCCTGAACGTGAGCGTGGCGGAGTATTCTCGCAAGTCCTTCAAGAACGGAGCGTATTCCCTCCTGACGACCGCTTGACACAGCTGCACATGTCAATTGCGAACGGTCTCATGTTGGCCTTCCTTGACAAATCGGTTGCGATGGAATCCCATTCAGGATGCCTCTTCGCCATCTGGTGGATTTGATTTAATGTTTGCACATGTGTCTGGACCCGCTCCGAAACGCGGTTTGCGTTGCAAGCCCGTTGTACATAGAGAGAGAGATATATAAACAGAAAGTGGAGTTGCGGGAACCTCGTCTCCACCTCTTCCCGAATGATCCTCCACGTTGAATTGTTCTGCAAGGCTTCGGAATAAGATCTGGAGTACGCCATTACCTTCTCATGGTTCAGGCGCCCGTCATCATCCGTAAGGTTCGCGATGCTGCTCTTACATCCATGTAACATTGCACGTGCACATGCGTTGGTGTGAGATCCCATAATTGTGAGGTACCTGATATTGTGCTCTTGCACTGGTGGTACCATTCCATCGGACCGATCTGCGAGGTCCCGCTGAAGCGAAGGCCTGCTTCCAGCGCTCGGGGCCGCCA